AGTTGTTTTTTTGTATAAGACGTGAGGTGAAGGTCTTGTTTCAGTCTTTTACATATCGCTTTCCAGTTCTGCCAGCACCAACCGTTCAAGAGAGTATCATATCCCCATGTGATCTATTTAAGCATTTTGTTGAAAATCAGTTGGCTGTATGTGAATGGGTTAATTTCTGGATTTACAATTCCATTCCATCGATCAATGTATCTTTCGTTAAACCAGTACCAAACTGTTTTCACAACTGTAGCCGTGTAATTAATTTTGAAATCAAGGAGTGAGTATTTTCTAACTTATTCTTCTTCTTAAGCCGTGCTTTGCTTATTCTGGGTCTCTTTCCTTTCCATATAAAATTTTTAATTGTTTTTTTTACCTCTCTTTTCATCAGACCCATCTTGAAAATGATGAAAACTATTCAGTGGGATCCTTCTTCATATAGAGATAGCATTGCTCTACATGTTTACAAATCACCTTAATAGTCTGGCTGAACAGAAGAAAGCTTTGCTATCATATTTGCTTCATTAATTCCTTTACAATATGTTGTTTTAGTTGAAATATATGAAAAAAATATGATTGCACACAGATATATGTTTGGAAAAAGAAAGAGGTATTTTAAAATTATTATGTTTTAATACTATACTAAGACTCAGGAATAGAGACTTCCTAATTGTAATTTGGGACTTCCTAATTTTAATTTAAGGAGCTCTGTAACCTAGTGGTTACGAATAGTGCTGCGAACCTCATGGTCAGCAGTTCAAAACTATCAGTTATTCTGCAGGAGAAAGATGAGGCTTTCTGCTTACGTAAAGATTTACAGCCTCGGAAACCCTGTACAGGGTTGTTATGAGTCGGAACCGACTATAAGGCACATCACAACACAACAGCAACAATTGTAATTTAAGGAGCTCTGGTAGCGTAGTGGTTACAAATCGGGCTACAAACCACAAGGTCAGCACTTCGAACCTACCATCTGCTCCACAGGAGAAAGATGAGGCGTTCTGTTTCCGTAAAGATTTACAACCTCAGAAACCCTGGACAGGGTCGCTGTGAGTTGGAACCTACTCCACGGCACATAACAATAATAACAAAACCCTTATTTTTTTATGTTAATTAAATCCACTGATCTATTTTATTCTGAATGGCATTTTTACGTATATATGATTTTTTTTTTTAGCATATGGATTAGCGAAGTGGCAGCATCAATGGACCAGGTAGTGTTTCATAAGTGCATAAGGTTCTGTTGTGCAGAACTGACTCAATAGCACCTAACAACAATAACAACAGAAGTCAAGAATTCAATTTGTGGAAACCTGAACTTTGCACAAGACATTTGAGCCTTTGTCAGAGATATGATCCCTTATCAAGAGTTTCACAAAACATTGCAGACCTTTATCCATCCTTCATCATTCCACGTCCACTTCTGAATCCACCTTGAACCTCTGAAAATTCTCTGTCAATGTATGTTTTCAGTCATTTTTGTAATACTTTTAGTAAAACTTCACCACATGGGATATCAATGACACTGTCCAATGATTTCTGCATTCCATTGAGCTACCTCTCTGGAATGGGCACAAATTTGGATCTCGTCCAGCCAGTTGGCCAGGTGGCTATCTTCGAAATTTCTTGGCATAGATGAGTGAGTGTCTCCAGTGCCACATCAGTTTCTTGAAAGATTTAAATTTGTATTACCTTTATTCCCGGTGTCTTGTTATATGCCTTCAATGCACCTTGAACTTCTTCCTTCAGGATCATTGGCTCTTGATCATATGCTAACTGTTGAAATGGCCGAACATTGACCATTTCTATTTGGCCCAGTGATCCTGTATATTCCTTTCATCTTCCTTTGATGCTTTCTGCATTCAATAATTTGCCCACTTTTTGTTGTTAAATGCCATTGATTAGGTTCCAACCCATAACAACCTTGTAAAGAGTTTCTGAGGAGCAGCTGGTAAACTTGAACCACCAACCTTAAGGTTCAAATCAACTTTGCAGTCCAGTGCATTAACCCACATCACCACACCAAGACTCCAGAATTTACCCATAGAATCCTTCAATACTGCAAGTCGAGGTTTGATTTTCTTTCTTCAGTTTCCTCAGCTTCAGACATCCTTAGTGTAGTCTTCCCTTTTGTTTTTCTAACTCCAGGTCTTTATACATATCTTTATAATGTTTGACTTTTCTTTTCTAGCTGCCCTTTGAAATTTTCTAGCTGCCTATTCAGCTCTTTTACTTCCTCACTTCTTCCATTTGCTTTAGCACCTCTATTCTGGAGAGACATTAGTGAGTTGAAATGGACTGGTATTGGCCATTTTGAATCTGACAATCACATGGTTTACTACACTAAGAATGACAAATTGAAGAAGAATGGTGTGGCACTTATTGTCATAAAGAATATATCAAGATCTGTCATGCGATACAATGCTGTCTGTGATAGGATAATATACATGTGCCTACAGAGAATACCACTTAATAACGTATTATTCAAATTGACACACCAACCACTAAAAGCCAGTGAAGAAGAAATAGAAGAATTACAGCAACTTCTTCAATCTGAAACTGATCAAACATGCAATCAAGGTTTATTGATAATTACTGGTTATTAGAATGCAAAGGTTGGGAACAAAGAGGAAGGAGCAGTAGTTGGAAAATATGGCCTTCTTGATAGAAATGATGCTGGAGATAGAATGAGAGAATTCTACAAAATCAATGATTTGTTCATTTCAAATACCTTCTTTAGACTGCATAAGAGACAATTATACACATGGACCTCATCAGATGGAATGCACAGAAATCAAATCGACTACATCTGTGGAAAGAGACGATGGAAAAGCTCTATATCATCAAGCAAAACAAGACCAGAAGCAGTATGTGGAACAGACTATCAATTGCTCATATGCAAATTCAAACTGAAGCTGAAGAAAATGAAAACAATTCCATGAGAGCCAAAATATGACCTTGAATATATCCCACATTGATTTAGAGATCATCTGAAGAACAGATTTGATACATTAAACACTAAAGATCTAGGACAAGAAGAATTGTGGGATGACATCAAGAACATCATACAGAAAGAAAACAAAAAGTCACTAAGAAGACAAGAAAGAAGGAAAAGGTCAAAATGGATGTCAGAAGAGACACTGAAACTTGCTCTCCAGCGTAGAGATGCTGATGCAAATGGAAGTAATGAAGAGGCACAAGAACTGAATACAAAATTTCAAAGGTCAGCTTGAAGAGACAAACTCAAATACTGCAATGAAATGTGCAAAGATCTGAAGTCACAAAGTCAAAAGGGAAGAACATGTTCAGTATATCTCAAGCTGGGGAAACTGAAGAGAATATTCAAACCTTAACTTTCATTATTGAAGGATTCATTGGGCAAATTTCTGAAGAATACAGAAAGCATCTAAAGAAGAAGGAAGGAATAAACAGAGACACTGTACCAAAATGAAATGTTTGCTGTTCAACCGTTTCAAGTAGTAGCATACGATCAAGAGCCAATGATACTGAAGGAAGAAGTTCAAGGTGCATTTAAGGAATTGGTGATGAACAAGGTCCCAGGAGTTTATGGAATACAAATTGAAATCTTTGAAGAAATTGTGACGGCATTGGAGGCACTCACTCATCTACGCTAAGAAATTTGGAAGAAAACTATCTGGCCAACTGATTGAAAAAGATACATATTTGTGCCAATTCCAAAGAGAGGTGACCCAATGGGATGTGGAAATCATCGGGCAATGTCTTTTATAGCCCATGCAAGTAAAGTTTTAATAAAGGTAATAGAGAAAAGGCTACAGGCATCCATTGACAGGAACTTCCAGAGGTTCAATCTGGATTCAGAAGCAGACAGGGAATGAGGGATATCATTGCTGATGTCCTATGGATCTTGGCTGAAAGCAAAGAATACCAGAAAGATGCTTACCTGTGCTTTATTGATTACACAAAGGCTTTTGATTGTGTGGATCATGACAAGCCATGGGCAACATTGTGAAGTATGACTATTCCAGAACACTTAATTGTGCTCATGAGGAATCTGTAAATGGAACAAAAGGCAGTTATTCAAACAGAACATGGGAACACTGAATGGTTTGTAATTAAGAAAGGCAAGTGACAGGGTTGTATTCTTTCACCATAATTATTCAACATGTATACTGAGCAAATGATCCAAGAAGCTGGGTTATATGAAGAAAAATGTGGCATCAGGATTGGAGGAAGACTCATTATCAACCTGCAATATGCAGATGATACAACCTTGCATGCTGAAAGTTAAGAGGTCTTAAAGTATTTACTGATGAAGACCAAAGAGCATAGCCTTCGTTATGGATTGCATCTCAATGTAAAGAAAACAAAAATCCTCACTACTGGATCAATAAACATTCTTATCAACAGAGAAAAGATTGAAGTTGTCAAGAACTTCATTCTTCTTGGATGAAGTATCAACACTCATGGAAGCAGCAGTCAAGAAATCAAACGACATATTGCATTAGGCAAATCAGCTGCACAAGATCTTTTTAAAGTGTTGAAGAATAAAGATATCAGCTTGAGGACTAAGGTGCACCTGATCCAAGCCATGGTATTTTCAATAGTATCATATTAATGCAAAAGCTGGACAGTGAATAAGGGAGACTAGAAGAATTGATGCTTTTGAGTTATGGTGTTGGAGGAGACTATTGAAAGTGCCATGGGCTGTCAAAAGAACCAACAGACTTGTGTTGGAAGAAGTGTAGCCAGAGTGCTCCTTGGAGGCCAGGATGGCCAAACTTCTTCTCTCATACATCAGACTTATTGTCAGGAAGAACTAATCGCTGGGGAAGGATATCCTGTTTGTTAAGGTGGAGGGTCAGAGAAAAAGAAGAAGTCCCCAGAGAGATGGATTGGCCAAATGACAGCATCAATGGGCTCAAGCATGGCAACAATTGTGAGGTTGTCCCAGGACCGTGAAGTGTTTTGTTCTGTTGTGCATAGGGTTGCTATGAGTTGGTTCTGACTCGATGGCACCTACCAACAACAACATGAATCTCCCGGACCCCGAGCCTCCTCCGACGGTTGCACTAGACTTTGCGTCTCCCCCATCCCCTGACTCTTCTACTTCTCCTCCCCCTCCTCCTCCTTCACCCATTGTCCCTCCTGAAGATCCTCCTGTTTTGCCCCAGTCACCAGATCCTGGAGTATAGCACCAACTATCCTTCTCTTACGGGAAGTAGCCAGGGTCAATGGCCCCAACCAAGTGCATGTTCCTTTTTCTGTGTCCAATCTTTCCCATATTCAAGAATGCTTAGTATCCTTTTCTGAAGACCCAGTAAAGATCCGCAAAGAATTCCTACAGATATTCTAGTCTTTTAGTTTAACTTGGCATTATATTTACATTATTTTAAATGCTACCGTGACCCCAGATGAAACAGAACCCACATGGAAAGCAGCAAAAGCCCATGCTGATGCCCTGCATGAGCAGGCCCCCATCTGTCAACTTTGCAGTAGCAGATTCTGTTCCTCGCAGAAAGCCTAGTCAGAATTATCTACATGATAATTTGCCAAACTGCAAAGTCATTTGAACTGCAAGTTTGGCAGTGCAAGCCCAGTACGGCCTGCCTTTCAAAGGCCATGATAAAATATTCCAACATGAGCCCAGAATTAAGAGAAGGCCAAATTTTCCTTCATTTTCAGTTTATTTCCCAGTCTGTACCCAATATTACAAGGAAATTACAAAAGTTAGAAGGTCCTCAAGCCCCACAATGAAATCTTCTAAATGCAGCCTACAAAGTTTTTAACAACTGAAATGAAGAAAGGAACCTAAAAGAAAAACAACTTGACATTAAATATCAGATGCTAGAAACTACCACCTCACACTTGTTTCAGCCCAGACCAGGAAAGAACACAACAATCCCTGGAATGTGCTTTCAGTGTGGACAAGCTGGGCAAGGTGCAAAAGCTTGCCCTAACCTGAGGTCACTGAGTAAACCATGCCCAATATGTGGTGAATGAGGCCACTTGAAAATGGACTGCCCTCAACAGGTATGCCCTCCCAGGCCAGGTTCAATTCAAACTTTAGCACCCTCCAACCACCCATGAAGGACCTTTCATCCTTATTAGCTCTGCCCTCACAGCGAGTTTGCCAGAACCTAGGGTAGTCGGTATGATATCTCATGAGACCATTTCTTTCCTACTGGATAGTGGGGCAAGTGTTTAAGTTCTAACAGAATATAGTTGTCCACTCCTCTCTTCCTCGGACACAGTAATCTGAGGATTAAAGGCATATCTGCAACTCCAAACAAACACCACACCTCAGTTTTCCTTTGGAGATTTATCCTTCACTTATTCTTTTTTAGTAATACACCAATGACCTGTTCTTCTCTTTTTTAAGGTTTTTATTGTGGATTGAGTAAAAGTTTACAAGGTATATCATCAGTTTTACATTCAACAAATCATACGCCTTGCTTCATCACAATGATTATAATCCCCTCCATATACCATCAGTTAAAGGTGTTTCTCTCTATTCACTTTATCTTTTTTTTTTTTTTAAACAGTCAGGCATATACAATAATTTACATCATCAAAGGGCACATTCTGCAAGTCTGCCTCCTGGCTGCCATCTATTAGTCCCGCACATTCCATGAATCTAGAGTCCTCAGCTTCTCCCTCTCTCCATATCCCCTTCTCTTCCTCCTTCTCTGGTGTGGCTGCTTCTCTGGATAAGGTCTCGCATTCTGCTTGTGCTCTTCTCCCTTGATGATCCTAGGGACCTTTCTTTCTGGACTGTAAGATTAACCACTCCCTTGATTTTGTTACAAAACTTCTACCTTTACAAATGTGAGTTGAAATTAGTCATGATAACAATTACTCA